TGAATTAGTTCACAAAATTATAATATTTGATTAAGTTTTTTATTAAATTAAAAAAAAAACTGATTTCACTCTTATGTTTTGATTAGAAAAATAATAAAAATATTTATTTTGAAATAACTACAAAATTCAGTCGGCTAGACTTGTTAATTTATGAGAGTACTGGTGATTTGTATGAGATTTTAGTTCAAAATTTATCACTGGTATCATATAAAAAAAACATAATGTATGTGAATAAATTCGATAAATTTATATTTTTCAGTATTAAAATTCAGTATGAGCATAGCATCATAGGTTTGATTTATCAACTCGATTTCTCATACTCACTTCACTGTGCATCATTGCTCTGGATAATTAATCATACAACAAGTTATGATTTCTCCATTTTCTCTTGGTACTTACACCTTTAATGTAATAACTAAGATTGATGATAGTTTGACAACAGAAATTATATCATCCTTCAAATAACTCATTTTATTAATATAATAATCTATAAAATAATTTAATAAAAATAAAATAAAATTATTATTATAATATTAAAAAAATATATTTATAAAAATGATATGAATTTGGATTGTCAAAATATTATTTTCCAATAATTAATTTAACTTACAGAATAATGTTAGCTTTTAATCATTAAAAGTGCTCGCTCAATTATTTTCACTTGAAGTTTTTTTTTTTAATATTTTTTATACTTATTCTATTATTTTAAAAGTTCAAAATAATATTCATTATGCCTTTGATTTTTATATAACATCTCCGATTCTTTCGTTTAAACAATTCAGTTAATTTTTACTTCAATAATTGTTTCAATTAACAAATTAATTAACTTGCAAATATTTTATCTTTTATCAACATTTATATTCTCTCTCATATATTTTATATAAATATTAAAATAAAATAAAATTAAAACTATTTATATAAACAATTCTCTCCAATTTTAAATAATTTCAAACTATACATGATACATTATTTTGTTTCTAAACAAAGTATATTATGCAGCTTCTTTCAAAAAGATTATTATATATCTTGAAATAAGAAATGAAATGAAATAAAGGCATGAGAAAATGAAAATGGTTATTTTGGGTACAATAATTGTTTGAATTTATTTATTTGTGGAGAACCGAGGATCTCCATGGGAAGGTGTACTAAGAAAATAACAGTGTGAGTGCGTGGGATATGAAAGATGGGGTGGTGAGGAAGAGAGAAGAGGGTCCCAACTCAACACAGAGTAATAAAAAAAACATACCATAACACTGCATAATTGCTGCTAAGGTAACATAACATAACTACCATGATTGAAGACATGTAATATAATGTTCCAGAGGTTGACCTTTCTCACTTCCCTCCATCATCTCTTTTCACTTCTCAACCAAACACAAATTCCATCATATAAAAAAGATAGCTGATAATTGATATTGAAGATTGTCATACACAATGAGGACAAAGTTTTAGCTCCCTCTAACACGGACTTTGTTGTAAACCTTGTTTCATCATCATCGTCATCTTTTATTATTGGCATGCTATAGTGGTCAATGGTCATGTTGAAGTGTGAAATTTTTGTTTTTTATTTAGTCGTGGCTAAGGAAGTCAATTATTGTGAACATTGACATTGTTACGTTGTTGTAGAAGAACCTGACCACTTCCTCCACAAGTAGTACTAGCCCATTCATATGTTCCAGGAAGCTCAATTATTGCATGTTGAAGTATTTATAAAATCAATTGTACCTTTTATAAATTAAACTTCATTTATATATAAATTAAAATATTTAAGTTTATAAAACAATCCTTTTATAGTTTTTCAAACTTTCTTCTATTAAAATTGTTTATATGGAAATTTATTAACCAAAACCTACATAATTAACTAGATATAATAAAAATAATTAAGTATTTAAATTAATAAATTTTATTATTTTTTATTATTCAATTTTAACTTAATATCAATTAATAATTAATAAAGTGATTATTACATATATAATTTTTATTAAAAATGATAATTAAACTCGTATCAATAGGGACCGATCCATCATTGTCTCAAATTTAATGAAAAAAGTCAAGTTGAATAAATACGAGGTTGAGATTTTCTCCACTTTAAAAAGTAAAAAACAAAGATGGGGATGGGTAATATAGTCCCCATCCGACCGGTCCCACTCCCAATCCTCGTTCTTATCCCAATTTTATATTTAAAATTTAAAATATTAATATTTTTTTAATAATTCCTTTTCTTTCTTACATTATGTCATTTTTCTATATTTCATCTTTTTTTTCTTCTACGCATTTTTTCACTTTTTATCTTTTACAATCTCATTAATAAGTTCATTACATCATTCACGTTTTCTTAACGGTTCACGTTTCTTTAATCTATTCAATTGATTTTTTTTCAATTTTTTTGACCATAAACACATAACTATTATTTTATATATAAATATTCTAGATTAATCTTAATAATAATAATCTAATATTATTTTATTTCTAATTTATCTTTATTAAATTTTATTTTATTATATTTTTTAGATTTTATTATTCTTATTTATTATATGTCAAACTCTATCTTAATAAAATAACTATATTTTTTATAAACACATAATTATTTTTTTATATATAAATATTCTAGATTAATCTTAGTAATAATTTAATATTATTTTATTTTTAATTTATCTTTATTAAATTTTATTTTATTAAATTTTTTAGATTTTATTATTCTTATTTATTATATATCAAACTCTATCTTAATAAAATAACTATATTTTGAAGAATAAAAAGAATTGATAATTAAAATTTTATTATTTTGATCTAATTAAATAAGAATTAATTTATTAAATATTTTATTATAAATTATATATTTTATATTTATAAATATTTTAAAATGAAAACTTAATATATATATATATATATATAATCTGAATATTATTTTAAAATAAATAATATTATAAATATAATTATTATTTAAAAAAAATTATAATATTAATTTATTATAAATATAATTATTATTTTAAAAATAAGATAAAATAAAAACAAGTTAAGAATAAAAAAAATTGAAATCCAACGAAAGAAAATAAAAATTTAATTTCTAAATCTCACAAAAATCGAGAACAAAAGGATGACATGCAAGCCTAATTCTTACCTAGCAGTTATAAATCACACCAAAAGATATCTTAAATTTATACCACTTTTTTCACCACCATCTCCATAAAAGTTTTAAAATCAAATAAAAAATTAAATTATTTTTTTATAAATTAAAATTAACTTACGAAAAGTTAATTTATAAAAAAATCATGTAATTACTTTAATTTTTTGCTATTTGATCAATGTATTGGTGATTTTACATCTTTAAATCTGGGTATTGTGCACTTAATATCATATTAGCTATTGAAAATATTCCTTCTAAATTTGAAGAGTTTTTAAAGATTCTTCTTAATTAAACTTTCCTCTCTCTTGAGTTGAAGTCACTTAATTAACATCCACAACCAAATCAAACTTTGGTACCTTAAGCAGAAAAAGAATATCCATACTCTTATTATATCTAATGCTCATATTAAAATATAAAAAAAATATCTAAGTGAGACATCCCTATATTATGCATTAAATATTTTATAAAGTGAAAGAGCACCCTTTTCTTTTGTCTAATCCCCAACCTCCCTCCACCATCTCAGCCTTCTATACTGCAAATCTGCCAAAAGACCCAGTCACAACATATTCAGTAGACCCCACCACTCTGACCATAGGTAGGTTAATCGATCAATTTGTTTTCTATCATTGTTAGCAGTATTTGGAGTGTGGGAGACATACGAGACAAAGAGGTTAGAAGTTGATCGGAGACCTTTGGGGCTATGTTATTTCCTATTATCGGTGCCACTGGTGCTAAAGTTTCAAATTCTTGTTATGGGTTAGGGTTAGGGTTAGAATCTAATCTCCTTTTTGAGTTTGTAGGCCATTGATTCTAAGCCCCTGATGATTTCATCCCAATAAGAAAATTTTCACACTGTTTCGGTTTGATTATATTCTTCAATGGAAAAAGGATAAAGATTTATATGCTTCTTAATGATTTTTATTATTCCACATGGAGGATGGATATACTTTTTTTTGTAATTGGAGAATGGAAGACTCACCCCTCACACACAACCCGTTGTTATGACTTAGTTCATAAATGAAAAGGAGAACCCAGCGTCAAAGTTATAAAGCAAATTGCCAATGGAGAATGTTATTATCAGTCATATTGCTATAAAGGAAATTTCTTCAAGAGTTTGACTTATTATCAAAACTAGCACAATTTGTCTTGGAATTTAGAGCATATTCAGCTAAATCTAAAAGCAGGGCAGACATAGTTTCTCTCCGTTTTGACTTGTGCAGAGTCCTACTGAACCTAGTTGAGCCTGAGCCTGGTTGAGTATTGACTTGTACATGTCCGATCTCAACCGCTCCTAAATGGCCCGTGACTAATATAGCTGGACACAGGACACCTCAATCAAAATCCATAATCTAGAATTGGTACAAAGTACAATCCTAGCTTCCTCCTCATTTTACAGAATTTTCCGGGTTCGGAGTTTTTTACCTCGTTATGGTGATTATCTTAATCGCTCAATCCAAATTCTGGTTGAAAGCATCCTCCATGAATTAAGGGGTTAGAATTCAATGCTGAACCCCACGCAACAATATAATAAATATGCTCAGAGAATAAAATGACATTGAATTCTAGTAAATTTCTTATACAATCTTGGAGGTGGTTAAACAACAAAATTTCATTCCTTACTTGCAACCAGACAATCAGTTACCTACCACCAATTTCAATTGCCAATAAAATGTTTTTTATAAGACTTACAAGTCAACAAAGTGAAGCTCACTACAATAATTTTCTCTGTTTTTTGACAATAAGCTTGATATCCCAGTCAAGGACTATCCACTACCATTGACAATATACGTGGGCCACCACTGAGCAATGAGGGGGGAAAGCAGATGTAAAAGCATTGAGCACACCGATGTAAACCAATTCCACTATATATACATCAACCACTCCCACGCTTAAAATGTTGTCGAATAAACCTTTCCGCATGAGTAGGGTACTTATCTCTAATGTATTCCCGAAGGCACTTCTGATAGGAGAAATCGATCCAGCCACCATCAGTTCTCACAACAAAAAGACACCTTGATTGTCGATATTGGGGATGGCGGTCAACCTACAACAAAATAAGTCACATATCCATATCCTGCACTGCCTGTCTGCTTTGGAGTGTAACCAGAGCAGATCATTGACAAGAAAATCCAAATAATAATGGCTGAAGTTCCAGTCTTGAGGTCGGACCATATAAATTTTAATAAAATTTGAAATGTATATAAAAAAGCACAGGAGTTGATAATTTAAAATAAAGAGAGATAATGGCCTTCTTTATCAAATTTTAATTGGAAAGGAGGGTGTTTCGTCTTCAGAAATGCTTATCAAATCAATCACATGAGAGTAAATTTTAAAGGATAAAATGAAATCCAAATATGAAATGTTATATTCCACAATAATGCGTTTTGCAAGACAAACTTTCAGGAATCGTTTAAGCAATAACCAATTAGCATAAAACATGATTCGATCAAAATTAATATAACCAAGCCAATACGGGACTAACTAAAAGTGTATATGTTTACTAAAATGTAAATGAGAATATCTAAATATTCACAGAGATCCACAAAAATAACTACAGTATCATCTATGAGAGGTGGAATAGGTAAGTACATTTGATTTAACTGAGGTGCTACCCTAGATGGTAATAGAAGATAACCACTCCTTCGAAATACGTTAACATTGGGCAAAAATAAAAGAGAAAGAATGAAAAAACTTAACACCTTGCACAAAAGATCCTTTTGTAATTTTAACTTGCACTTTTAATCCTCTTGTTTTCACTAAAATATTTACTCGTGTTAATTTGTGTTAATCTCTACAACGTTGTCCACATAGTTATACTAATCATAATTACTCCCTATGTCAGTTTCACAGTGAGCTGCATGAAAACACCATGTTTTTTCTCTGGCAAGAAATAAAATTGGAATATGAGGAACCCCTTTTTTTCAATGAATTTTCCAACAATGAAATTATATTGCACAATGCCACCACAATCAAAAGAAAATCTCTTTAATAACTAGGTGAAAAAGGGAGTTACTTGAAACAATTTGAAAACTGAAAGGACAAAACTTTGCAATTGAATTGGGAAAATGTTTTAAAGAGATTAAAAGTACAATTAAACTTAATACTTTATTTGGGTACATAAAGGGGGTGAAACTTTATGCCAACATCTTTCTGACATAACTTCTACATTAATTTGAAGATTTATCAGAAAAACATAATTTTCAACTTTTAAATATACAGTAGTTCATGGAGCTAATCAATATACTGCAAATAGGAGTTAACTAGCATTTTGTATGTTGTAGTTTTTTGGGCCTAGTGATGAAGAAGAAATCAAGCAGCCACTTAAGTCAGGTCATCAAATTGTTCTTCATGAATGGATGGATAAGTTATCCATTATTTAAGAATTCTATTCATGATTTCAGCATAATCAAGACTCGAACAAAGTGAAGACCTCTTCTCGCCATGCAAAATCTGTTCAAGCATGCCATTGCCAGGTGAGTTTCTCCTTCACCTAGTGTATTCCAGGATAGTTGCTCTAACATTTTTTTTACCAGACACGGTCTGATACATTTTATGTGATAAAATCGATCAGTGATTACTTTTCTTTGCTAAGCAATGACAGTTAGATATAACAAAATCAAAACGGAATTTCAAACTTCTTTATATTTTTGACAGCGTGGTGGAATAAAAAACTAAAATAGCCATGGAATGAAAATATATAATAAAAGAGTCAAATGTACCAAACCAACGTGAAAAACCAAGATAGAAATTGGTTTTGTATTTTGAAAAGAAAAAAAAAATGTTTGGGGGAAGAGGCCCCATTTTAAGGTCAAGTTAAGCCAGATGAGTCGGCAAAGGCTTATAGTGGTACTTACAAGTGACCTTTCAAAAGACAACCAAAGAGGATGAGCTGTTAGCAACCAAGAATTGAATAGAAAAGAAAAGAAGTATTTATATTGAATAGAAGGAAAAGAACAGAAAATCAGAGAGCACTCTCTCTTCCAAGGTTTTCTCTCTACAAAGGATTTTTCCTTTCACAACGAACTAATGCTTAATTTAAAAAAAAAAATGAACTCACTTCCCCGATCCTTCTTACCCTATTTATATCTTACCAACTTCTCCTTCACGTGATACCCTAACATGAACTCAGGACCTTCTACTGGAATGTGAACATTGTTCAATCTTAGCAGTTAAGTCAAAACTTATTGGCAATTTTGGAGAATGTTGAATGCATTTCAGTATCTTACAGAAGTAAACCAGATGTCTATATCCCTGGTCAGGCTTGAAATAACCACGGTTTAACCGCTTTATGCAGATTCTAACTGCTTACAGCAACCACTGCACTCAAAATAAAGCAGAATCTTGTGCATAAATGCGAGACATAAGTATGAGTACTATCTAATTCGACACAAATGGAACGTGAAAATTTTAAGATGCACGATTCTTGAACTCAAAGTAATTAACAACGGAGGACAATCGTAGGGGTGTCAATATATATTGATATTATAATCGGAATATAGCTCAAAATATCACGTAAACTAGTCATTGCTTAAAGTGATGTCATGTGACTTGTGAAAATACAACCCTCCTAAGGAAAAGAAAAAGTCCACGTGGGTGCAGAAATCCCCATCAAAGATTTGTAAATTATAATTCAGGTTAAAAGTTGTTATTTAAATATGAAAGGGGTGAGAAAGATTTTAAGTATTTTTTAACCAGTTACAAGTTACAAGCACTTAGCACAACTACGGTCAGAAGTTCCAAACTAGAAAAAAAATAGTAAAGCAACCAATGTAGTGACACAATCACATCACAGAAAGTAGCATTGATATTACAAAACGACGACGTACGCAACAAACACATTATTGAGACTAAGCGTTTACCATAATAGCTTCAAGACCGCACCCAATCTTATCTTCAGAGTGTGGATGGTAAGCAAGAAGCTTCTCAACAATCGCTTTCTCGTCCTCCGCATTCAATCGCGCTCCATCCATATACCTGCAGCGTTTGGAACACATATCAATTAATTAAATAAATAAATAAAATTCATTTGAGATATTTGTAGAAATGATATTAAGGGGCTACCTTTGGGAGTGGAGAATGTCCTTGGCGAGCATAACTACAGGCTCAATGTCCTTCAGAATCTCCTCTTCTTTGTCCTTCCATTTCCGGTACTCCGGGTCTTCCGCCCACCGCGACTGCCCTGTCGGGAGCTGAGCTTTCCGCGCAAAGGAGCTGCTGCTAATGCTGCTGGAGTTTGTTTCCTGGTCCGAAGGTAGGCTGGCGGAGGCACTGCACAACGGACGGTGACGCGCCGCGACAGCTCCGGCAGCGAAGCGTTGGTAGTTATGGAAGCAAACGCGGAGGAGTAGAGCCTGTCTGAGAAGAAGAGGAGAGGCCATGGATTATGGTTTATGGTGGTGTGTGATAAGTGCTCATAATCTCGCAACGCGTCGCAGTCATGGTCCATGATGGACCCCGACCCAATACAGTGGGTTTCCGGCCCACTTGTTAACGGAATCCATCATCCATTACCATAAATAAATATAAAAATAAACAGGATTAAATATGTTTTTGTATTTATATATTTTTACTAATTTCAATTTATATTTTAAAAATTAAAAAATTAATTCTTAAAAAATAAATATGGATTTTATTTATAATATTAAAAATATAATATCGAATATCTAGATATAAAAAATATTAAACTTATATTTAATCTTGTTATCAAATTTATTAAAATAAAAAATATAATTAAGTGTAAAATTTAAATATAATAAATAACTAGAAAAAATCATGTATTCTAAATTTAAAAAAAATTAATCATCTTAAAACTATAGATATTAAAGATAAATCATGAAAAAATATATCTATTTTTTTTTTCAAAAACATAATTCCACTACATTAATACTTAAATTGTTAAAATTCAAAAGATATTTCTGTGGGTGTAACATGTGTACTCACTACAATAATAGATCAACTACAGTCCCATTGCATTTCTTTAAGTTTTTTTTTTCTTTGCAGTTAGAATTAATTGGCCATAGGTTTTAAAATTAATGAACATTTTAAATTGAAAATAGGAGTAATTAAGGAATAAAAAACATTTTAGGAATACTTTTTATACTTGTTCATAGATTTATGACTTAGTTATAATTTTAAGGGGAAAAAACACTTCTAATTATTTTTTTGAAAACTATAAATGTATAACCTTTGTCTTCCAAATATACAAGTTGGTTTGTTTCCGGGACTGACTTTATACACCAAAGAACTCATCCTCACCAGTTATTATATAACTTCTGAAAATAAAGATATGATTTTTTAAAACAGAATATTTTATTTGAGGATGAAGGAACTTTTGTATTTTTCTTATTTTAGATAAATCTAGGGTTTATAGTTAAAATTTATAACAACTAAATATTTGTATATTTATAAATTATATTTAGATTTATCATAAATAACTATTTTTAATAAAAATTATTATTTATTATTATTGATATTTTTAGATTATTAACAATTTTTTTAGAAATTAAAATAATAGATTAAAAGACATAAAGTTGTTAAGAAAATCAAGTATAAATGAATAAATATAAAAATATAACTAAAAATAAATGGGGTTTTGATTTAGGTTAGGGAGATATACTTTTATTCACATATATATAAAGTAAAAAAAATCATAAATTTAATAGGAAAGAAGTTGTAGAAAAAAATAAATAAATAACAGAGAAAGTGGGAGAGAACATAGGGTTTTATGATAGGACGAGAACATGTACTGAAATATGAATCGAAATTTACATATATTGAAATAATATATAAGAGAAGCAAATTAATGTTCAAGATTAGAGACAGACATGTATAATTTTTTATAAATATTTTCATTTTATATTTTAGAATTTTTATAACTTTTTTCTTTAATTTTTTATTTTTATAAGTAATTTTTCTTAATGCTTTTTTAAATCTTAATAACATTTCAATAATAAAAGAACTTTAGGACCTCCAAAAAAAACATCCTTTTAAGAACAACTCTTTTAGCTACACTCTGCTATCTTTACACTTGCACAAGTCTTGATACTCTCAATTTTTCGTATCATTATATATAATATATTCCATATTGTTATAAATTAAATTTGACACTTTTTTTTATTTTTCAAAAATACTTATAGTTATGAAATAATTATGTAATATACCGTCACCGAATATATTTATATTCATATTCATTTTCTGATATCATCTATATCAAAAATATTATTCACAACTTTTTTCACAAATATTTCATTCATATATAACGATGATCATAAATTATGAGATTATTTTCCATACAAAATGTATGTGGTTAATTTAATTTTTTTAATTGTGATGTATAAACTAATTTAGATTTTAAAGTTTATTTATTTGTTTTAAAAAATATAAATGAAAAACTCATCAAAAATTAGTAAAGAGTCTCCCTTTCATTCCATTAATTACTATTACTACCATTTAAGTAAATTTAATTTTAGTCATCTCAACTTTAGGATTATATAAATTTGATTCCTATAAAATTTAATTACACATTTTATCATTCAATTTTTTTAAAACAATTATATTCAATATTAAAATTTGCTAATAGAAAATGTTGATACACAATAGACCGTTATTATCAAACTTTACTGTATATATTGTATGTGTATAAGTAATTAATAACTTTATAATTAACATTATAAATCATAAATAATTTGTCAACAGTTTCTATTAGTAAATACATGATGGGGTAACTATTAATTAAAATGCTTTATTTTTGAAAACTGAAAAAAAAAACGTACAATTAATTTTTTCATAAGGAATAGAGATAAAAAAAGATAATAAGATTAAGGATATGAAAGATAAAAGGAAATAATAATACTGTTGAGATTTGAAGAAATATATAGGCTAAAAATGATAACTGATTATTAAAATTTAATTTAAAAATATATATTTTCACACCAATGTATATATACATTTCTAATTGTAAACCCTAGTCATCCAAATCTGAATTGCATTTCAAAATGTCTTCTAAATATCTTATTCTCTCACATCAATCTTACCCAGGCAAGTGTTCTTCCATTGATGATATTAGCGATGATTGTTTGGCTTGCGTTTTCCGGTTACTTGGCACCGCCGATCGTAATAGTTGTTCCCTTGTAAGTCGCCGCTGGTTCAAAATCGATGGACGCACCCGTCACTCTCTCTCCCTCACCGCAGAATCTCATCTCTCTCCCTTCGTCCCCTCTCTTTTCACCCGCTTCAATTCCGTCACCCAACTCACTCTCAAATGTCATAGCTACCAAGTCAAGAGCATCAGAGCCAATACTCTCATCCATATCTCCCAACTCTGCCGGAATCTCACGCTCCTCGAAATCCACGCCTCCTGCTATCTCACCGACGTAGGCCTCGAACGCCTGGCTATGAATTGTAAGGGTTTGAAGAGGTTCTCCTTCGGATCCTGCTCTTTCGGATCCCGAGGTATGGAGGCATTCATGCATCATTGCAAGGCTCTGGAAGAACTCTCCCTGGATGGTTTGCATGGAGCAAACGACGGGACTGTTGCAGCGTCAACGCTGAAACTGAAAGCCGTTTCTCTGAAGGACACCGTTCTTTTTTATCCTTTTCTCGGCGCCAAGAATCTGCGAGTCTTGAAGCTTCTTCGGTGCCCCGGGGAGTGGGATAGGCTTTTCCATTTGTTGGTGAACGAGGCTACTGGCATAGTGGAACTCCATCTCGTCTTGCTCGAAATTAGCGATGTAGGTTTGGAAGCGGTTGCAAAATGTTCGAATTTAGAAGTTCTGCATCTGGTGAAGACACCTAAGTGCACGGACGCAGGACTGGTTGCAGTTGCGAAGGGGTGCAACAAGAGTTTAAGAAAACTTCATGTTGGGTGGGAGCTCCAGAAAATAGGTAACAGAGGTTTGACAGCGGTTGCTGAGTATTGTGTTAACCTTCAGCAATTGGTTTTGATTGGTATGAATCTGAGCAGAGAGTGTTTTGAAATGTTGGTTTCGAATTGCGAGGGTTTAGAGCAATTGGGGTTGTGTGGAAGCGAAATGGTTAGTAACATTGAGATGAGCTGCATTGCAGCGAAATGTAGAGCTCTGAGAGAACTGTACATCGAGGGTTGCCCTATTTCTGATGGTGGGTTGTTGGTGGTGTTTGGGTGTCCGAAATTAGAGAGAGTGAAGGTTTGGAAGTGTGAAGGGGTGGATTCCAGGGAAGAGTACGTACAGTGTGGGGAGCGATCAGTGTATGTATGTTGCGACTTCCAATATTTGCAGATTTCCAGCCCTATAATACCTGATCCATTTAAGGAAGGTACTGAAACAAGACCTTCTTTTATGGGTTACCAAGGAACAAGGTTCAGGAATAATGTACTATTTTGACTCTCAGTAATTTCCTTTACTTTAAATACACTTTTATTTTTTTAATACAATCTCTCTATCATTAAATTTCTAATTAAAAAATAATGCATAAAAACATGTGAATATTTGTAAGCATATACAAAATAAATAAATAAAAACTTTAGCAAAATTTAGTAAGAGTCGTTCAATATACAATAAACCCAAAAACAATTCAGATAATTATTATCCGCCAAAAGTAACATGGAGAAAGAAAGTAAAGCATTAAAAATGTTTGTATTTTTTAAAATGGTGAAATATGTAAAATAACAAATTATATACTAAAACTTATATTTCTATAAAATATATATCTAAGTTTAAAATAGTTTAAAGATAATAATTAATTGTCAAAATTAACATGAAGAACCAATTATCTTTATAGAAGAAAATAAAAATTTAAAGTATTTTATGATTTTGTTTTGATTTTAGAACAGTTTTTTAATTTGTTAAAGAAAATAGTTTTTTAATAAAATTGAAAAAAAACGTATATGATAATGTTTTAGATGAAAGTTGAAGAAATTAACTAAAATAAAAAATAATAAAAATTGAAAAATGATTTTACAAACTTTATGATAACGAAGATAAGCTTATAATGAATATCTTTTAGAAAATAAAAAATAAATTAAAAATAGAAAATATATTTTTTTATCAGATTTTTTTTAGTTTTTAAGAAAATTGAAAACTATTTTTAAAAATGTTTGAATCTTTTAATGATAAAATATGCAAAACAAAAACTTATATTATGATAAAATATATAATTAAGTAAAAGTGTGAGATGCTGTTACTTTAGGATCTAGAAATAATAAAATAAAAAAAATCTGAAAAAATGTGATTAAAAAAGTTAAAAATATTCAATTTAATTTTGAAGTGATGATATTATAATGTTTGTAAGAATTTAAATGGCAGTAAATAGTTAAATTTAAATATTTGATATTTGATATTTAAGGAGTGAAAAAGGTGGTTCAGGGTCTGAAATAATTACGTGGTAGTGGGGGTGATTGGAATAATGAATGCTGAGTGGGGCTCTTTTTGTTGCCTCTGTTTGTTGTGGCTGTCAATCCCTTTGCTTCCTCCCTCTCTTATTTGTTTTTTTAAAATAACACCTTCATTCTTAAATTATTTTATTTCATCAATCAATTCCATAACAACCATGAGTTTTATTTAAAAACTCGAGACGGATACGTGTCTAAATTTATCTAAATTCAAATGTTAATACTAAATTTATCCAATAATTATTTTTCTTAACTAAAAAAATAAATAGGAGGGATTCCAAAAGAAATAGGCTAAAACTAGCTTGTCTTGGTGTCCGAGTACAATACTTAATTTTTTACTAATGTTATGTTACAATGTGCTTAGAGAGGGTCCATGCCCCAAAAGAAAAGCCACTTTGTTACAATGTGCAACACAAGTGCTGAAACCAATTCTCATCCAAGAGGACCACTTCTACTAGGGACAACACAAGTAGTTGTGGCATAGCCCATCAGTAAACTTAACTTTAATTGTCTCTTCTAACGGATCAAAATGACACGACAGGGGAATCAACCACTGTTACAAGTTAAACCTCTTTACCATCGAATTCACTATTACGTCTACGTAATGCTCTGATTCACATTAGAACATGTTTCGTGTTATATTTATAAATACAATTATCTTCATAACAGTAAATAAATGTTTATAACTACAACTATTTTGTTCACTGTATCACAACTGTTGTCACAGGTCTCAAATGGAGATCTTGGACCTCAGTTGATGTGGATTAATCTTCAGTAGAGGTCAATTCTATCTCTAACGCATCATCGGGAATCTTTCTCTGCCTACAAACTCTGATTTTTCCTTTTTGAAAAATCTGATCACTCCCCCAGTTTAGTTAGAGAAACAATCAAGAAATGAACACCACCGGATCTTACATACAATGCAACTGATCTCTGTAGTCTTTCTCTTGTATCTTTTTCATCCTACCATGCTCCATGATAGAGTTTCGTTTATCAGTATTCTGTACACATAGTACAATGTAATTAACTCTTAACCAAGGAACTTATCTCACCTCTGACCATAAAGCAACTAATCATAACTGAGTGGTAACAATTGTAACAGAAGAAGCAACGGTCAACTGTTCAATATTCACTAGGCAGCTGAACTGGAATGGAAGGAACTAAAAATATAAAATGGGAGATGATGCAATGAGTTAAAAAGTGACAAGAGAAGGAAACATCTCATAAATAAGCCTTTCCTACGTATGATAACTGCTAGTGCAATGAAAATATCAAATTCTAACCAATTCACGCTTAGGATTTCAATTTTGTTATAAATGCCTTCACCAATCATCGAAAGTGGAAAGGGAAATGTGAAGGCTGAGGTCCCACTGTAAAATTAGAACAACTTCAATTGTCTTTTACAAGGGTGTGTGTGTGTGTGTGTCGGAGCACGATCACCCCACTTTGGTGGCTGCAAGAGGCCAGTGGGTACCATCACCAGTTTGTTTGCGTTTTGCCTTTTAAATTTTAATCTTGTTGCCCCCATTCATTTCCCCACTCTCTTTACTCCGTGTCCGTAGAAGATGGAAAGTGGATTACCTTTGCTTAATTGTCTCTTGCAGCAGACTCTCAGAACCATTTGCACTTCTTCCAATTCTTCCATTTCTTCTAAGTGGGTTTATGCTGTCTTCTGGAGGATATTGCCTCGAAACTTTCCTCCACCAAGGTAATAAGTTATGCATATGCTATATACAACAATGTAACACACACAGAGGATAACATATACAAAAATTAGTGACCAATTTTAATGACATTCTTTTTTCTTAAGGACTTTAGTGACGGATTTTTTAAAAATTAATAAAAACTATTTGTTACTAATTATGATTCTTCTGAGTTTTGTTTTTGTCTGGTTTGCCATGTACGCTACAGGTGGGAATTTGGAGGAACTGCGCTTGATCTCTCCAAAGGAAATAAAAGGAACTGGTAATTTTGTTGCAACTATGACAAACATCTCGTTTTAGTAGTTCTTATTTGACCACCAGAAAAAATGTTCCTTGGTTAGGATTCTTGTCTGGGAAGATGGGTTCTGCGATTTTAACGAATGCGAGCAGAGGAAGAGTGGTAGTGGTTACTTGAACGGTAGATTTGGAGCTGACGTATTCTTCAAAATGTCGCATGAGGTTTACAATTATGGAGAGGGGTGAGCGTTGACATTACCTTTACATTTCCTTGCCATAAGAAGATTCATTATCTTTTCTTCTGTTTTCCAAAAGTAGCATTGCAAATTCAAGTGAAGCAAGAGGAGCAAAATAATCCATTCTTTGATCTATATATATCTGCAGACTAGTGGGAAAGGTTGCCGCAGATAATAGTCACAAATGGGTTTACAATGAGAGTCACAACAACGAGTTTGAAGCTAGCTATACTGCTTCATGGAATGCTTCTGTCGAGCCTGTAAGAGAAGTCATTTTATAGACAGAAATAATTGTAATGTGTAATATCTTTCTTCACATTTTGCCCATCTCTCTTGATTCTTAATGCTTGACCCTTTTCTTTCTTTTTTTAATATTCATGGTCCTTGTCTTGATTATACTCAACAGCAACCAAAGGCATGGGAGTTTCAGTTCAATTCAGGCATTCAGGTTGGTAAAAATACGTTCACAAACTTCACACAGAAATAGAAAAAGCTAATGACTTTAAACCATTATAATTCACTTTGGTAGAGCATAGTCATAATAGCTGTCAGAGAAGGCGTAGTGCAATTGGGTTCTTTTAATAAGGTACATCACTTTCTCACCCCTAATGTTTCCCTATTCTTGCAAAATCCCCATCATTATTAATTAGTCCGCAAGTTCTTCAGACTGCAGAGGACCTGAATCTGGTGATCAGCATACAAAGACAATTCAGCTACCTTCAAAGCATACCGGGTGTATTTGGTATTCAAAGACCGTACCTACCCATTCAATATCCATACATTGTGAAGCCCAATTTCATGGAAAGCAATGGAATGCCTCTATATGATATGACCTGGAACACCCCTCAGAATGGAGCACCAGGCCCATCTCTTTGTTCAGGTTCTCCGCCTTTACCATTACCAGCCATGCCTTGCAGTTTTGGAGCTTTGCTATCAAAGTTACCATCCGGAGTCCCACCCCATAATCAAGCCCCTAATTCTGGGACACAAAGCAGCACTATTGAGAGAGTGAAGATTGAAGACTGCGAATTTCATCCTACCCATGATGGTGGTGATCACAAAGGAAAGGTTGTTCCTTGAACAAGTAGGATTGATTCGGAACATCCATTAAGTGGCAGGAAGTTCGGCCATAATGGCTCTTAATCAGAGTAGTTAGTATATGTTAAGAAAATGGTTAGCTATTTATTTTCCTTCTCTTGGCCACAGTGTATTGTGGTGTGTTTATTGGTGGCCGACAATATATTAATCATAGCGACCACTGTTACTGTTTCTTTCTGCGCGCATTTATGTAATGATGAATGCAATGCAGACATTATCTAGAACAAAACTCCATTAAGCTGTGCAACTTTTTTGTATCATGTCAAAAAGATATGGATGCTGCCTAACTCCCCCAATAGAAAGTTAATAGCGCGCAATAATTGAAAACTACAGGGGAAATAATTTGCAATTAAGATCCATACGTGGTTAATGGGAAGTTTTTTAGTTGTGATGGATTGTATGATGAAGGAAGGATGGGGCTAGAGATTAGAATACCGTGGTGGGGAATGATGGAAAGGGTTGGGGTATGGTTTGAAGTGTGGTGTTCCATCTTGTGGGGCTGTGTTGAAAAGGAGAGGAAGGAAGGGAGTGATAATTGAAGTCAGCAACTCAACGTCAAGCTGCTCTGGGCGACAATTAGTATTTGAGCCCTGGTCCCCAACACTGTACTATTTCTTTGACAACCCGACTGCGTGAAAGTTACGTGTATGAATTCATGTGTACACAAACTCTCACAGACACTTTCTTAGATATTGTTGTCTGGAATTACTCTGAGCTCCCAAATATACTGTGTTTTAGCTAAGCTTTACAATTACTTGTTGTCAGATAAAGAATCGTCATTAGTATTCATAGCTTAACACCTTTGGTTGAGTTTGTGCTAGATTGAAACTCACAATTGAATTCTTAATATCTTCACTTTTGATATTGTGATACTTTTTACTTCTTAGTCATAAGTACGTAATAATGACTTTATTTGTTCTTTTGTCTCTCAAGTATAATTTCTTTTCATATTGATATATCTTCCCTTTAGTAGAAGACTTTTTACTTGTTATACTCAATTAGTTTTGTCGTCTCTCAAGGATGATTCTCTTTTATATTGGTATATTTTCCCTGGAGCAAAAGACTTTTTACTTACCATACTCAACTGAGCCGGTCACTGAACGAACTATTTGCTCTGATAGTTGTCACTGGATGAACCATATGTTCTGATACACTCAACTGGTAGTACCGTCTCTAAAGTGTGATTCCCTTTAGTATATCTCTCCTTCAACCGAAAGACCTTTTACCTACTATACTCAACTAAATCAGTCATTAAACAAACTATCAGCTGTGATATCATTTTTGAATATTTTCTAAGTAACTTAAAACTTCAAGACATTAAATTATGTTTCTTTCTAATTGATAAGTTACTCAACTTTTTCGTTTCAGTCTATATATGATTTTTAAATTAGGATTAAATTCTCATCGTGTGAAAGGAGAAGAAGAATGCTGAGAATCTTCTTCGAACAACATTGTTCCGCTAGTATTCGTGGAAATATGGGCTACAATAAATTGCCTCTAACGACGACGTAGGGTGGAAACATTTTTGTATTGACAAAAAACGAATATAAGAAATACAAGAAATTATTAGTGATTTTACGTAATCAATTTCGGTTTGGTGGCCTAAAACTAATGGAGTTTTAAAGTTCATTTATGACGATGATTAAATTGCATTAATTTTGCTCGTTTAGATATTAAATCTTAAAATGGGGTATTGGACCAAATATTAGTATTACGTTATGACCGTTGAGTACTAGTAAATTTAACATGGATGATTGATATAGAAGTAATCATAAGAAAAACAAATGCCTTGAGTTATTTTTCACAATTGAAAAAATGCTAATTGATTTTATTTTATTTTATCATCGTCTTTAATTATTTAGATAATGAACTATTCCACAATTTAAAAATCAAAATTCTATACCCTATCAAAAAAAAAAAATATATATATATATATATATATATATATATATAAAATTACACCGTTCATCAATAAAAATTATGTTATGATTTTCATTTTATTATTATTATTAAAAAAACACCAAAATTACAAGTGACTTAACAATAATTTACTATGATTTTACACTAACTACTATTTTCTCTAATCTTAATGTTTGTTAAATAATCTATATGAGATTATATATTTTGAGTAGTATACACTGAATTATTGACTATCGACACAGTCGATAGTTAGAAACTAACCCCTCTAAATGAAGAACTTTACTCCAACGTCACGGAACAATTAATCTATGAAACTAATGATAATCAACATATGTTTGTTTTGTTGGTTGAGATTCATATTGTTAATCTACAAGAGTGAAGCTAAAGGCAAATCATAATTCGTCGTGCGGTATCCCAATGTCAAACATTTATTGTGTTATATTTTTTTCTCTGTAAGATAAAAATTAGAAAATGAGAACTAAGTTGGTCATCATTTGCTAAAGTTGATCTTGTTCCTACCTGTGAAGTTCCGGTGGGTGACTGAAGTTGACAGGGTTTGACAGATTTTGGCCACTCTTAATGGGATAGAATGAAAGAATCGTAATTCCACACTTTCCTGCAGTGTCTTCTGCTATATTTCGTTCCATTCTTACATAACCTTCCTCTCCCCATTTCTTACCCCATGAATTCTTCACGATCCAATAGTCAGTTCCATTTTCTGTACCGTAACCAACAGCTGCAACACCATGATCTATTGCAGTACCACATGTTCCTGTGAATATACCCTGGTTAAATTCAGACAAACAAAATACATTATATTAAGCCAGTAAACAAGAAACAATGTTAATGTTGATTTATATTTGAAGTTGAACAAAACTCTGAATGCATTGCTAATTTTAACTCACTCACTCTACTCAGAATGTAGTTCCTTTAGTCCCCCAATAAATAGATTAAAAACTTACTGATTCATATAACTGAAACCCTTTGCCATATGCTTCAATGGCAACGCTCACTGGTTGATTTGCTACTGCCTTTTTCAAGGCTAACTCGTCATAAGCAGGAACACGTTCATAACCATCAATTGTAACAGCTTTAGCATTTTGCTATGGATAAGAAAAAAATTATATAACTAATACAATGAAACTAGTAGGAAAGAAACATTTACCAATGTATCAAATAATAAAGTTAAAACTAACCTTATTTTGATCACATACACCATCAGCACCTTGAAAGGGATAATCATCTTCGGTGTCAATGCCACCATTGTTGATAATGAACTCAAAGGCGTAATCCACAAGTCCCCCACCGCATCCTGCGTTCACTGTTCGGTCACAATCCAACAGTTCTTGCTCTGATAATGCAGTTAGATTGCCTGTTACTATCTTGTTAATCCCTTCCACTGCCGCAATTGCTGAGAATGCCCAGCAACCCTCTATATGAAAAAAAAGAAAACGTTGACCATAAATGTACATCATGCCTTGGGTCTTTTACAATTTATATATGTTCAATTATAAAGAAAATTGTTATAGAAGACTTTAATAATAAGGACTCTTCTATAGACTTAAATTTATATATTAAGATTCATGTTTGAGTTCTTTTTTAATTTAATCTGAAACGCTTTTACTTGGAGTATACAAATCCATTTTTTCACTTAAGCAGAGCAAGATAAAGTATCTATGCTAAAATTTTAACTGCCAAGAGGAAAGTAATTTGAAGGTAAAAATTAGAAAAAATTGTCATATCATAATAAATGAGACACGTGTCTAACACCAGTCCAAATAACTTTTATTCCTTTCAGAAACATACTTTTTGTTTAAATTTATTTTAAATCAATCTTCTCTCATCTTTATAAATATATACTCAACTTTTTAATTACTTATCATTTTCATCTTTATTTTTAAATTAAATTTTCATACTATATTAAAAACATCCAAATAATTAAAAAAAATTATCATGATATAAAACAGTTCTTATTTATACTAAAAAATATCTATTTATTACAATTTTTAGTCATAAATATTAAAATAACATATTGAATAAAAACTATTCTAAAAAAAATGAGAGAATAGAATAAAAAATCATTGATCTAAATATATAAATAGGGTAAACAAACAGAAGAATAAAAAAATAAACGAAACGAAAAGAAATAATATAATAGTGCAGTACAGTACTTACCGCACTCTGCTTGGTCTTTGACTCTCACCACAGCACCTTCTTTCCTCCAATCAACACATTCCGGCAAGTTGTCACCCACGCGCCGAGCGTAACGGTTACTTGGCTTCGCCATCATCCTGAGAGGGTTAATCTTGTTTCTCAGGTACTTGGACCGGTATTCCTCGTTGCTAAGATCAGCGAACCGGTTCAGACCAACCTTGTATGTCCGGATCTCAGCGTTGTGCTCGTCGATAAACTTGAGGTTGTCTTTGAAAATCTGAAAACTCTTTTCTTTCTCGGCGAGGGCGCTATGCACCTTCCCATGCTTCACAAGCCACTCCTCGTATATACTTCTTACCTCCTCGTCGCCCCTCCACACTGTCTTGTCTGCGTGGGTTCTGTCGTACGAGATTATAGACATGTCCAACGACGATGACACTGCTAAGACCATGAAGAACACGATGAGGATGGTGGCCGTGGAAGATATATTTTTCCCCATTTTCTATTTTTGTTTGATATTTTGTTGATCGCAGGAGTTCCGCTTATAATGGCCTAACTCAGAAGTGATGATAATTTAAAATTAATGTTGATGACTGTAATGATTGGGGTTAAACAGATAAAATATAGGTGATGCGTGCTCATGAATGGCGAGGCAGAAAAAAACATAAATTATCTTCATAAGAATTCCTAGAAGAAAAAGTATATGAAAAACTTCTAAGTTTTTATAAATTAACATTAATTTATATGCAATTATTACTTTTTATTTTATTTTTGGAAAACCTTATGATAATATTTTTTTTTCAAATTATAAATTGCAATAGGATTGATATTTTTTATCAATCCAAAACTTGTTGTTTTTCGTAGGAACAAATCTAATACAATGAATCTCGGTAAATAATATTTTAGTGCCTATCTTCTCTAGTTTCGAGTAAGATGCCAATAGGGTAAAATATGATAACTTTTGAAATAAGATTAAAATTAATATAGTTTATTGCATAATGTATTAATTTAATTATATATATATATAATTGTACGAATAGATAATTATTTTATAATATATAAATGAAGTCAATAGAAATACAACTTTCTAATATCATTTTTTAAAACTACATGTTAAAAGATAATATATGAAATTAAAATGCAACCAGTTTGTCATAAAGATGCATTATGTTTAATTCCTTTAATTTAAATATATCACATGTTTGTTTGGGTTAGACAAATTTTATGGAACAAGATAAATAATGATACATTCTTATATAACAAGGAAATACAATGATGAATAAACCTTGAACTTTGACTTCTCTAAATTAATAGTGACGACCATATAAATTCAGAAAAAGTATTAACAATAAATTTCCTAACTCCCCTGTTTGATCACAAATATTTTTTTATCATCTGGTTCTGTGACTACAGTGTTCAAAAGTGCATCACTTGTTCTTTCAGAGTTCCCAGATAGATATTAATACTCAATTTACGTTGATAAATGTTTTGATTATCATGAAAACCAATTTTGGATGTGAATATCTGAAAATAGTCTTAGCTTCTAATTAGGGGATGATTGATTTAATAAATACGATTATGTTGTTTTACATAAACAATGATATAAAAGAGCATAATTAATAATTAATTATGTCTTTAATATTTCACAGTCAAACAAGGTCAATGCTATTTGATTTTATCCATTTAATTTGTTATTTATAAATAATGATTTGGACCACTTAATGGGTATGTTTATTTATTTATTTATTTTAAGAAATAAGATTTTAAATAAAATAATTATTTTATTATAATATTTAATATATTTAGGTAAATTTATTTTAAAAATAAAACAAGTTGAGAATAAAAAAAGTTTTTTTTTTTTAACTATTTGAAGTTACTTCCACTAGTGCAAAAATGGGTTTTTACGTCAGGTATTTAGGGTTTTTTACGTCGTATTTAAGTCCGACGTTAAAGCGGGAGACGTAAATTTACGTCGGACTCTTTTGCCCGACGTAGATTTACGTCAGTTATCCAGATCCGACGTAGATTTATACTAAACAGACGTAAAAACCTTTTCAATTTAAAAAAAAAAATAGAAAATTTACGTCGCATATACCAATATGCGACGTAAATTTATTATTTTTTTTTTAAATTGGGTTTATTTATTCTGTTTTACAACTAAAACCTGCAAATATTACAATCAGACAGTCCATATGTTTAGTTTTCTTTAGCTAGTAAATTAAAAATATAATATTATATAATTCAAACTACATAATAAAACAATATAATATAAACATACAAACTAAAAAATCTATTACAAACTAAGCCACCTATACAAACTAAGCTACCTATACAAACTAAGTTATAAACTACATAATACACACAATATAATATGAACAAGAACTTAAAAAATAATGTACTAGAATTGTTGAACAAAAAATTTTGCCCATTGTTCTCTAATTTCTGTAATCTCAGATTCTGGTAATGGAGATGGATCTTGAAATACCGAAACATGAATTTGACTCTTGTAAGCATGCAACATGAATAAAGTTAAATAAACTTAACTAATGTTAAAAATAATTACCTCCGTCCAAGAATCAATTAAACCCGCACAAACTATGGCTCTCATCCAATACATTACATAGTAACCACATTCAAACGAGTCAGTTTGCTTATTACACTGAAATGATGAAAAAAACATAATATTATTTTCAAAATTGAAATACAAACAATAATTATGGTATTCACTTATATAAATAAGTTTCTAACCTTAGGATAAATGAACTGCAAAGTCTTTGTTCTAGGTTTTCCACTTAGAACATTAGTTCCGAGACACGATTCTAAGTGAAAAAAGTCATATATTATTCAATATGTATTCACAATTTAAAAACATAATTAATGAATAAAAGATAAAGTTACCCTTGTAATAAGCTTTTCATTTCTTGACTTCGGTTTCCGATGTAATGAACAAAACCACACCACAGATGTAATACCTGGGGCATGATTACAATTAACTGCCAATGGGACCTACATTGTATGACATAAAAATTAGTTACAAAAATATAAATTAAAATACAAATTAAAATACTAACCCTTCAATGTATGGAGCCAAATATACATGTCTTCTTGACTCACTCATCCATGTTTGCATATATTGTTGGATTCCAACCTTTGTATTTCCAGATTTTTGGATGGATTGAGGCTCAATAAATCCGTATACTTCGGATTTTTCTTGTTCCACACTCAAATTGTCAAGGTACCTAAAACAATTAATTATAAGTTGAATATAATTATTATAATCTTAGAAACATAAATGAAAATGACTTACATTGCCCACAATTGTATGATGGAAATGTTTAACATGCAATTTCCCCAAGAATTTCTAAAGCATCGAGCAAGGAAATGTACTAATGGAACACTGGAATTGTCAATTCCAAACACTCTAACATCCCATTGTATCCGACACGGTCTCTTTCTCAACCGTGATAATACGTGCTAACAACATAGTAGATGGGATCATCATCACATTCCGTCAGATCCTCATCAATAATAGGTTGTTTTTTATGCTTAACACGACGCAAGTCCTCCTAAACAAATGATAACAATTAATTAAACATTTATATAATTATAATACTAGAAAAGAGTAAATAGACAATATGTATATATATATATATATATATATATATTACCTTGGTCTCGTGCTGATAGTTGCATAACCAAACGTCTTGGCCAAGCCAAGAATGTCCCGCTTGTCCGCCCTACTAATTGAATCTCTTCATTAGGAAAAGGCACTCGGAGCATTAGCATCATGAACTTCATCAACTACTACTCGTGTCCAGATCCGGTCGTAGAGGACACCATGGATGGTTAACCCACCCTCAAAAACTCGACCAACAGACCCACTAGACGCGGGGTCATCTTCAACATATAACTCACACCTGGTGTGATGCATCGATCCGAGTATATTCTCCTGAAGGATCAACGATAGTAAGCAGCACAACTCCCTTTAGTGCTCGACTCGAACAATATCATGTTCAATTGTTTGAGGTGTTCCTTGAGTCCGTTGCTGAGAGCGGGCGAGAGATTCAATTTTCTCATCAAACTCTTGGCTGCAAGGACTCGCCTTATTTGATTTAACTTTTCTTCAAACCGCATCTCCATTTTATGCAAGGCCTCCCGGCCGCAAGAGTCAGCGAGTGGTCCTTCGTGATGTTGGACCAAAGTAATCACGAAGGCCCCAGTGTTCCACCAAGACCACGCACACGTCCCGAGTAATCTGGTTTTTCTATGGTCGTTGCCAATATATCTTGTCAACCATGAGGAATAAATGATCCTTGGTCGGTCCGCTCAACTAAATCATCCTACAACACATTAACAATAATTAAGTCATACACTAACTTTCAAATTAGAATCAATTCAAATTGACATTATAACTTACGATTTTCTCGAGCAATGATTCGTGCGGAATCGAAGTCATTTGTCCATCGGATTTTGTCCGGCTGCCTTCCACATCGATAGCGAGGGGTGGAGATGCAAGGTTAGTAGAATCAACTCCTGCGACTCTTCTCCGGATTTCATGAGACGTTGCTCCAATAATGCATACCCTCCTCGTGACAATACATGGGGTGCATCATTCAACCTCCGACGTTGTTAGGCGGCTTGTCTTTTATCCCGCCAAGAGGGGTCCATTCGGGCTGGCACAAAACTATAACCAATCCTCCTCACTAATTTGATACTTTATACAGGGAGATTCATCTCGAAACTTTCCAAATACATACTCCCGTGTCAAGAAAGTCTTAAAGTCCCTCCATCTAATGGCAATGGAGGATAAAATCTTCTTCCTCATCACCTCGGTGTTAGGAACATCAAAATTTTGTCGTGAAATGACCAATAAATGTTAAATTCAATTAATAATGATATATAAAGTATTCAACAAATATAGAAATACCTGAACATCCTGCCACATGAGGTTCTTCTCGGTTTCCTCAACATCATCCCAAGATGGAGTAGTAATCGGAACATGGTGTCGAGCTAGTAGTCCCAAATAGCTCTTAAACTTAGCAAGCATTTGGGCCGGATGCCTTACCAGAACGTGGATCAACTTCAACTTGAGTTTTCTCTCTAGCTACCCTCCTTGTCGTCAACCCCTTTAACCGAGTGACAGATCTACCTTTATCACCACTTCCGCTCCTCGCCACCGCCACTACCACTACCAAGTACCAGACTGTGGAATCCGACATATCCTGAAAAACAAAACAATATGAAGTCAACATACTTTATAAGTTTGAATAAAAAGAACTAGAAAATGTGAAGATAAACACCTATTATGTTGGTATGTTTTCCCATATCCCTTCATCATGATCACTTCGAATTGCATGTATGTCATCAACTTCATTGTCAACTATGTCATCAAATGGTCTACTTGAAAATGAAGGTGTTTCATGTATATCTAGAGACTCATCTTCATGAATTCCGTGCATGCTTCTTCCTTCTAGGACAATTGACCATCTCTCATTACAT